ATAATTAAAATTATAATAAATAAATGTGCTTATAGGAGACTGTGTGTGAGTGCATATATATGTGTGTGTGTGTGTGTGTATACACACACACACACACAACATGGCTTATTTATTTTGCAAACCAAGAATTTTTACCCAAAAAAAAGCACAATGAATCACATTTCCACAGAACAGTCAAAACAGCTGTGTTCAGATACGCTAGTACTCCTTTTCTTTTCCTTCCCCTAATTTCTCCAGCAAGTGTGGGCAACACAAACGATCTGAAACACCTATTTCCTTTATGAAAAGTGAAAAGAAATCCATGCTTCAGGGAAACCATCCAGCTTGATATTTCCACCTTGTATCCTGAGATAGGTCAGCTTTTTCTGACACAGACCTGCGTCCACCTGGCCTGCAGTCAGCTTCCACCGCGGGGCTCCCTCCACACGAGACCCTCGATGTTGAGGAGGCAAGGGCCAGACAGAGGTGTCACATTAAGAATCCTCCATCGAATTATCATAACATTCTAAACAGCGGATCAACTGGGACACTCTCTTTAATGCTAGGGTTTCCATTGAAAAATCCAGTGATCAAAAACATTGATCTTGATTTGGTTTCTTCATGCCTAGACACTGTTTTGAGAAAGGTAGGGAGCAGAAGATTTCCTTATAATGGGGGAAAATGGGGGAACTGGTCTTCCAGTCAATATCCCACTTAGCCTATGTGACAATGTTATTAGGATGGGGATTATGGAGAACCAAGGTGAGTAGCAGTGAAGAGGCTGGACTAGCAACGGGAAGATCCAGGTTCTCGGTTCCCCTTCAGCCACGGAAGATCCCTAGGGGACCTTGAGGGTCCCTCTCTTGCAGACAGGACCCAGCCTGCTGTTAAAGGGGAAGGTGTTGGACTAGGAGTTGGGAACCACAGGTTCTGGTCCTCCCTTAGGCATGGAAACCAGCTGGATGTCAGTCAGCCCCTCTCTGCAACAAGCGCATGCAATAAACAGAAGACCCTGTGGCATCATGCGCTGATTGGTCCTTGGTAAGAACAAGGCGAGCACAGCGTAAAAGCCAGCCGGCTCTGCAGTCAAGCGGGACAAACAACAGGATTAGAAGGGGGATTATAGGAGGAACCTCGAAGAGATTTTTGAAGAAAGCAAAGGTATAATTAATAAAGCCATTCCTCTCCCAGCCATAATCCAAGTATAGGTAGTCCCCAGTTTAAGAACGAATTCCGTTCCCAAGGTCTGTCCTTAAGGTGAATTTGTATGTAAGCCGGAACAGTATTATTGTATACTGTATAACATATATACGTATGTTTTATAGACACACGTACACATATATACATGATATATACATACATGCATGTTTTATACACATATACACACACATAGATATGGTGTGTGTGTGTATATATACATATACATATATATATATATATATACACACACATACACACACATATATTCTCTCCTATTAATACTGTATACTGTATTGTGGGAGTTGAAGTCTTAAAGTTTAGCAAACATCTTAAAGTTTGCCAAGGTTGAGAAAAACTGTTACAGAGGCAGCTAACCCAACAGGGTGGTACCAATAGAACAATAACGAGGACAGGCTTTCTATCCTAACAATCTAGGACTGGATGAAGATGATGATTTATTAGATTTATTAAGGCTAATTTATTCTGGCCACCGACTCCAAAAGATGCCGGAACTCACTAGCGTGGATCCTTTTGGGGTGCCCCGCTGTCACTCCCTTTGGCCTGCGGTCCTGCTGAACACTTCTGAAGCACGGCCAGCTATGGCCCGGTCAGCTGTGGATAATGGGAGCTGTAGCCCTGAAAGGGCACTGAAGGGCAAAATGTGGCACATGTATCCTTTTCATTTCTCTCCAAGGGGCCGCAGCTCCCGATCGTTTCCCCCTCCCTCCGCTTCCTCCTCACCACACCCCTGCGAGGTAGGACAGTGTGAGGGCTCAGCAACGGCCGGCGGTCGCCCAGCGGGGCTTGCTCTCTTCCCTCGCCGCTTCCTTTGGCTTCGTTTTCCTATTCCCATCGCCCATTTCCCGTCCCTGGACTGTGCCTTTTCGCTTTCGTCCTTCTTCCACCCGCCCCCGTCCCCCGGCTGCACTTCCCCGCTTTCTGCGGCTCCTCCAGCGCCTTCGGTCGCCCGGACAAGTCGAGACATTTCCCGCGGCTCCGCCCAGCAGCCTTTTCCAGCACGCAGCCCCGCCCGCTGCCCCGAAGAGGCCCGCCGGGCCCGGGATTCCCTCGTGCGTGCGTCCTCGCATGACTCACGCGCCGAGCCGCGCGGCCGCCTATAAATCCCTCCACTCGCCCGCCTGCCGGCAAGTCAGATCGGAATAGCCAGCGAGGCAGGCGGACGGAGGACGGACGGGTGGGAGGACAGACAGGCAGACAGGCAGACAGAGAGAGCTGACTTTGCGGGCAGCCCAGCTCGGCTCGAGGCAGCGCTCGTGGATGATGGGAAAGCGCCGCGGTTCCGTGATGCCCATGGATCCTCTCGGCAAAGCGGGGTTGCTGTGCCAAGCGTGCGGCTTCCTCCTGAGCAACCCGCAGCAGGCGGAATGCGGGCATCGCTACTGCCGGCGATGCGTGAAGGGGCTCTTCAGGTCAGTGGCGAGCAGCGATCGCGGGCAAGGACGGGGCAGGGCAGAGGCAAGCGAGCCGCTCTCACGAATCCCGTCCTGGGGTTGCCCCCCGAATGCGTTGGACTACAAGTCCCGCGATGCTCGGCCAGCAGGCGGGCGGAGAAGGCTGAAAGTCGTACCCGGGGGAACTGGGAGCAAGCCGGGCGGGCGGAGCGCGGAGCGGACTCTGCGCGCCTGGGTTTGCCGGCGGGGTTGTGTTCCTCGGCGCCTCCGCGGACCCGGGGGCAGATCAGCGCCTTCCAGTGGGGAATCTGGCGCTCAGAATCACGGGGCCCCTTTGGGGGGAGCGGGGCGGGATTGCCCCTGGCAGGTTGGTTGTTAGACCGGCTGGACCGGTTTCGTTCTGGGTTCTGCTCTGTCTCCGAAGGAGGCATTTGCTTGCTCGGGACGGCTGTATTTTGGGATACAAAACCTGCAAAACCTGCGCGTGGAAGGCGACGGGGCGGTGGGCTGCGGTCGTGCGCTGCTCTTCTTAGGGCAATAATGGGGAGATGAGCCCTTTTAGCTCCCGAGGGAAAGTCTCTCGCCTCTGGGACCCAGCCGCGTCCTTTTCTTAATGGTAGCAAATGGAGAGCAAGCACAAGATTGATTGATTGATTGATTGATTGATTGACTGACTGACTGACTGACTGACTGACTGACTGACTGACTGACTGACTGATTGATTGATTGATTGATTATGTGCCATCAAGTCGTTTCCGACTCCCAGCGGTCACGAAGATAGATTTTCTCCCTGACGGATCGTACTTTGGTTCTGCTCTTCATAGGGTCTGAGCTACTGGTCGGCCCCCCCTTTCTCTGCACTGGAATGCAAATTAAATTCTTATTTTGCATTTCTTCAATTTCAGGCCTGTTGTCTGCTTGCTTCCTACGTACTTTCCCACCAGATTGTGTGCTAATTTCCTACATTTGTTGCTAATTCTCTTGAATAGTGCATTCAAATGACAGAATAAAGGAGAGCTTTTTCTGTGGTTGCACCCCAGTTATGAAATTCTCTCCTCAGAGAGATTGGCACCCATATTAGCATAATTTCAGCGCCAGACCTTTCTATTTCCCCAGGCTTTTTAATTGGCTTTTAATTGTATTTTAATTCGTGTTGCTTTAGTCTATGAATGCCTGCCATGCTGCCGCCTGGTTTATATGGTGTTTTTATTTTGTATTCTTTTTAATCTTTTTTTACTCTGATTGTATTTTTTAGTGTGTTTTATTGTGAACTGCCCAGAGAGCCTTGGCTAGGGGGTGATTAAAAAAAAATAAAGATTAAAAAAATTATTTTAATTGATGGGAAAAAGGTGGATTTCTGAAATTATGGGCACTGTACAATATTAGTGAGCAACTTCAAATTCTAGTTGGGTTTTTCAACTAGTTTTGGATGGGTTCCACCTCCAACAGAGAGACCCTAATATATTTACTTTCATGTTTAATTTAATTAATGTTTTGTGTGCATGTTAGAAATCCTAGGGAGCTATCAGAAGAGTGTAAGCCTACAGGAAGGGCTTTAATTTAGGAGTTTTCAAATTTTTTAGGCCACCAGATATGAGTTAAAGACAATTTATTCCCAGAACCTCCGATCAAGTGACAAAACTCTAGTAATACAAAATGGGCTGCGTTATGATTTTTGACCTCAGTGTTTCATAGAATCCAATCAAGGTCTTGAGGAACTCTACGGTGGAGTCCTTGGGGTTCTCTGAGCTTGGCTGTTTTCTTGCAAATGTTTGGTTACCCGGCTAGGTAACTGCATAGTGCCCATGATTTCAGAAATCCATCTTTCTCCTGTCAATTAAAATCATATTTTTTAATCTTTATTTTGCAATGAAGATGTTACCGAGCCAGGTAACGAAACGTTGGCCAGAAAACAGCCAAGCTCAGAGAACCCCGAGGACTCCGCCGTTCAACCCTGAGCTTCACACATTCGCTTCTATTGGAACTCTAAGTTTCCATGGAAATCTTGCTCTAATGCAAGCTGAGGGTCTCTCAGTCTGAGGTGGGGCCCATCCAAAACTCGCTGAAAAACCCAAATGGAGTTTGAGATTGTTCCTCAACCATCGTGTCAATGGGACCTAGTTAATCATGAAGGGACAGTTCACATTTTGACTTGTGACTGAGTGTTTTTGTAGGGTCTCCATGAAACTTTTTTCTTTAAAGCTTGTGGTTTTTAATTTGACAAATTAATGAGGTTTTCATCAGAATTCTGCTCTTGTGTTGGATTTTTATTGCTAGGTGCCTTGAGTACTATTTTTCTTCTTATTTTCCTGGTAAGGAACGGCAGACCCAAAAGGAGATGAATGGCCTCGATAAATCAAATCCCAAAATGTAGTTATATTGCCTAGGTATAAAGGAAGAGCAAAGGGAAGAGTGTGATGGGACACATGTCAGAGGATGAGGTGGCCTGTGGTTGGAAGCGGGGTGTGTGTGAGAGAGTCCCTTCAAAATTGCCCATAGTTCTGCTGTTAAATGTTCATTCAGTTCACTTTCTTCTCTTTTGTTTTCTTCCTCAGGGACCCAGAGATGGTGGTGACCTGCTTTACGTGTAAGAAGGCTCTGAATCTCAAGGAGGTGAGTGTCAAGATAATTGTTCTCAGACCAGAACAACCTTATAAATATCCAACAGTCAAAGAAGCGGTGAATGGATGGGAAGAAAAAAAACTGAGTTTGAACTCCTGTGGATATAATCTCATTGAGTGAGATGGGCGGTGACTAAATTTGAAATATATACATACATACATACATACATACATACATACATACATACATGCTGGGCTAGATGGGCTGATGGCTTGTGCTAGCAGGGGTCTTCTGATGTTCTCATGAAACATACTCCACAAGACATGATTGCATCTACATGCTAAGCCAAAACTAAAGAAATCACATGATGGATTCACCTAACGGAGAATCCAGCCGGTGGGGGGACTATATCTTAAAGGTAGTCTGTAGAGTGGAGGGGGCAAAAGCTGGACCAAGTTGAAACTTCAGTACCCGTGGTAGAAGAAACATCACCACCACAGAGTTTAGAGGGGTTTAAGCAATCTACGTGACATCCACCTTTTTCTGCAAGATCTTGCCACCAATCCTCAGGATCTGCTTCCTGGGGTTACTATCTCAGTTTACCTAATGATAGGGCCATCCTAATGGTGGAGGTGGATGTTAGAAAAGGGGGTGTGGATCTAACGTTACCACGATCAACTTATCATCATCATCATCTCACCTCTTGACTCTCTCTCTCTCACACAGTTCCATAGTGACAAAGCAGCAGAGAACGACGCTCTTGCCACACAAGTAGCCTGCCCAAATTTTAACTGCACATGGACAGGAACTCTGAAATCATACCAGGTATTTTCAACAAACGTTGTCACTTTCATTGCTTTTCATGATCCTGCTCTGTTTCTCTTGGCAATCAGCCCCTGAGTCCATTGTTAAAAAGATATTAATTGAATATCTCACTAAGATTTAATGTGATACTGATTATGAATTGGCTGGGGAACCCTGGTTCAAAAGTGTGATGGCAATTTTCATACATTAATGGTAGCATTAATATAATGGGAAGGTGTTTGTAATATCAGTAACAAAAACCAGCAGTTAAATAAAGTATTTCCTGGATTTTTAAAATCATATATCTTCAATGAGGAAAGGGCTAGAACTGTGTGACAATTTATGAAAGGAAGACTGGGAAAAAGTATACCCCATATACAAACTGATTTATTGTTATCCCCCTGTAGATTTATGGCCTAGGGATTTCTAACAGGGTTACCTTACCTAATTACTAATATACAATTCTCAGGATTCTTTTGGGGGGGGGGGAGCCATGACAATTAAAGCTATGACAAGTAAAACGTGTCCACATAAGCTATAGACATGTCCTTGGAAGGTTTAGAACTTCGAAATCTGGCTGTGTCTCAGAGTCATGATCAAGTGTCAGAAGCTATGACTCATCATAGTCTGAACTATGCTGTCCTGATCTTTAATCATAGGAGCATTTATGCCTCCCTGAGGCACCTATTGGAACTACAAGAGATGCTACCTTAACTCCTGGAGACCAAAATGTGAATAAAGAGAAGGCAGAGCACTGGAATCTCATTGCTCCCACCATGGTAAGTTACTGAATAAACCTTGAAAGCCTAATTCTTTTTTAATGCATTATTAAATGGTCATTGTTAAATGACCATTACAAGTGGTCATAGATACTAATTTAAATGGTTTTACAAAGGCACTGGACACATTCATGGAGGATCAGAAGATCAGGATCAGGGGTCATGTAGCTTCTAGTCTGTATGGTTACATGCTACCTCCTGAATCACGGACAGATCTTAAATACCAATTGGTGGGAAGCAACTGTACAAGAGCCCACAGCCCTCTCGTCCTTTTCTGAGTTCCAAATGCTGGCCACTATGTGGACTCTTCATACATTCTTAAGATGCCACAAGATAACAGGGTTTCAGAGGGAACCTAGACGATTGGAGAAAGTAGTGCTGAAAGATTGAAGAAGAGAACTTTGAGGATCCTCAAGAGAAAATGAGGATTTTCAGTCAAAACATGACAGCACAGCATGAGCAAATGTCACTCAGAATGTAATGTTTAGAGAAAGGGTGATTTCACTGTATCCAGAATAGATTCTCCTGGGTTTCTGATTGTCCTATTAATTTAGTAATTATAATAAGCAAAGCAGCTTAATTAAGAGGAAAGTGATAGCACTTTTGAAAACAGTTGGGGGGGGAAGGGAACTGCCTTGACTTTGTGCCTCCATTTTGGCTTTTTTCTTATGTGAGTTTACCTTCTTCTTCTCTAGGGTGGTCCTTCCCTGAACATGGAAGCTGTCCAGTTGCGTGTGGAGGCCCTAGAACTGGTGATTGCATCTTTGCGTCGGCAGCTGAATCACCAAGTCTCCACTGTGAAATCCCTCCAACGTTGCTGCTCTCAGTATGAGGAGTTGCTCAAAATTTCTCAGGAAACACGTAATGGTCCTCATGGAACCAAAGGTTCTGGACCATCCTCACAGGAGCTGGTCAGCACTGATGGAATCTTAGTATGGAAAGTGGAGAATTTCTCCAAGCTCCTGAAGGATGCCAAAAGTGGGAAAAGACATTCCATCTTCTCTCCAGCTTTTGCCACCCACCCTTTTGGATACCGCCTCTATGTCCGACTATACCCTGATGGAGATGGTGTAGGTAAGGGTGGCCACCTTTCGCTCTTCCTTGCTTTGGCCAAAGGGCCTTACGATGACATTCTGCCCTGGCCTTTCCGGCAAAAAGTCACCTTCTCTCTCCTGGATCCCACACGAAGGAAGTCACCTCTGGTGGAGACTTTCCTCCCAGATCCCCAAAGCACTTCTTTCCAGCAGCCTCACCAGAGACTCAATGTGGCCAGTGGGAGTCCTTTATTTGCCAGCCATGTTGAGATTCCCAGCTACCTCAAAGATGACACGCTCTACCTCAAAATAATGGTGGACTTGACAGGAATAGACATTTAATGCTGGAAATAGATGGAGAGAATTTATGGTGAACATATTCTATTACTTTTAATACTTCAAGGGTTTTTTATTGAATCTTTTCTTTACTACCACCCAACTGTGCCAACCACAATTTCCATTTCAAAACAGATCATCAACTGCTTCTCAAGGTCATCTAAAAGCAGCATATTGTTTTGGCTTGAACTCATGGGAAATCAATCCTTGATTATGTTCAAGACTGAGGTGGAACATCCTCTAAACATTACAATCCTTATGGGATTTTTATGGACAGCTGTTGGAGAATATCTTTCTGTTAAATGCAGAGAAATGTGGAAAATGTTTTTCAGTGGTCAAGGATGTCAAGATGCCTTCCTATAAATACCCAACCCTAATAGATACTATATTTATCTGAAGACTAGTTTTCCCCAGACAACATTGCAATGGGAGAGTTGAGATTTACCAAGAATTTGGTAAATGAGACAGATCACGTTCTGTTGTCTATTAACCTGTGAGTGGGGAAATCCAAGGATCTGTTTCTTTTGGGCAATATGGAATAATTTGCACACAATATCCGAGGTGCAAATTTTCAGCTCTCTTGTTACATTGCTTCCAGTCTGTTAAAATATACAGTTGCCATAAAATGATGTTAAAGGCAGGATGGGAGTTTTACAACACAAAATAGGATGTTGCAATGGTACATCGTACGGGCAGGTGTTTTTCCTATTAATCATTAGCAGGGAATGGATGAACTTGATGATTTCAAAATGCCATTGTTAATTATATCCATAGCACTATTTATGGAAAAGGGACTTTGCAATAACAACTAAGGATTCTCATATCCTTAGACTTGACATTTCTTTCTACCTCGCACTCTTATTTATTAACAACTCTGGTATTTATTATATAAGAGTACATGTGTACTGATATCCAAATAAAACATTAAAGTATATTTATATGATCGATGAAAGTGTTTCATGTTGGTTATTATAGGAGACGAAAATAATGTGAATACAGTAGTTAACTGATATTTAAGGTCTAATTTCGCTTTTCCACTAAGATTTAAACCATGCTTTTAAACCATGATTTTTCTTTAGCATGGTTTCTGGGTAACCATTAAAGAGAGAGGTTGTCCCAGTACTTCAGCCATCCAGTGATTCTGCTAAGCTTCAGCAAAAATCTCATGCTGGGAAATTTAGAGCCATTCATTCTAGCCTGTTATGTGGGATGGAAAAGAGGTGGTCTTCCTTGCTCATTCATTCAAGAACAAATTGATTAAAACGACAAGGAAGTTGGTCCAAACTAAATATCAGAAGGAATGGCATCTTCATTTTTCCATTTGGCAAAAAAATGGGGACTGGATCTCTCTTTTTGATTTGTCATCAGTATGGCTACTTGACTTATCGATATCTATAGATCAGTGTTTTTCAAACTTAGCAACTTTAAGATGAGTGGACTTCAACTTCCAGAATTCCGTA